GGTGTTGCTGATGAGGCCAGGAAGAGCCCTAAGGAGAACATCCCTTCCATCCCCATCCTGCTGAGAAAGCACCCATGTCCCCTGTAGCACCCAGAGAGAGCCTTGATTTAGGTCTGGCTCATACTGCTCTTTTCAGATGAATGGGAGGGAGAAATGGGGAGGAAATCTTGTTTATAGTGATGGTCAGACACAAGACCAAGGGGAGCACGAATATATGCGAGACCATCCATATGCATCTGAGGCTTTACCTCCTAAATAATGCTAAGGGTGACAGAAGGCAGCAGTGGCCATCTCCCTCTTTCCCCTGCAGGACTAGCTTAGGTTTTTCTTTATGTCAAGTTTTCAAGGCTATCTCAGGACCTAAAGCCAAACCTTCCTGCACCCTCCACCTCTTCTCCCTACGTTTTCCAATGCGTGGGGTGAAAACTGAGCAGAGGGGACCAGTAACTGCAATTACAGCTCTCAAACTAGTCATGTGCAAAGACTCTAGATAGTATATATCTAGATATTAGTAGTCTCTGTCCACAGGATGGGAATAACCTACCTCTGTGTAGCTTGTGAAAGAGAGTTACTGTTTTAAGAGGGGAGTATTTCCTCAGCTGGTATAAACCAGCATAACTTGATGCCTTTCTAAAGGCCAGGATGGATGACAAAATCCCCACGGTGATTTCCCACAAAGCTTCACAGAATCTGAATGAAATCAGGACAATTCATTGCAAGTCCTTAACAAAACAAGCACACAGCTTGGTGCTTATATTTCCTCATCACTGCTATTTTTATGGACAGACAGCCACTGCCATAGTTATTATCCCAGCATCATCCTTGCTTGTTTTACAGGAGCAGGGTTTGACATACAGGGTGTCAGGCAAATAACTTGCCCAGTGCTTCAGAAAGTCAGCAAAAGAGTCAGGATTCACAGCCTGGCACCATTCAAATAAACATATCCATCCCCTGGATGCATGGAAAACTGCAGGCGTGGGATTGAAGGGATGCTGAGGAATGAGGGTAGAGAGAAAGGTGCAAAAAAAGGAGCCGAGAACAGTGCCTGTTCAATGCATGTATTTGAGTGGGAGTCAGCTAAAGGCTGGCTTATGGTAACTGCATCACACATTCACATTCATCTTTCTTGGGAATGTTTTGAGTTCCCTTTACTCACTACCAAGGCAACTGAATCCTGCAGGGAAACAGAGCGAACTCACACAGAGCAGTTGTGAACAGCAGTGAGCACAGCGTCACCGCACTTGTGGGTGCACAGTGGCCAAGTCCAGCGCGGTTCAGAAGATTCAGAGGAAACTTCTTAGCATCCAGAAACCCCCCACCACCAACCTCTGGGGCTGCACAGACCAATCTGCGGTCCAGCCACATGGTGCGCAGTGCTTCAGATGCGCCGCTCGGATGCTGATGGATGCTCAGCTTCAGCAAACAGCACTGCTGATGCTGGCAGAGGTTTCTCTTCTCACATCTGACTCCAAGCTTCACCCACCCTCTTCCCCAGCTCAGCTGCTCTGAACAACAGAGGAAGAAGAGGTGGCCTTGGGGAGGAGCTGGGAGCAGAGCATCTCCACTCGCACTGTTAATGGTATTGATCTGACTTATGGGCACTGTCAGAGCCTAGACTTGAACCTTCACATCCCACTCTGGGACAGAGGGAGAGACTGTCATCATATGTCCTGGAAGGACCCCTGAGCCCTTTGCTTGTAGCCCACTGTGACATGATGAGGAGGGGGCAGCTTCGGCTGTCACCTCTCCCAGCAGGGCTCACAGACATCAGCGCTAGAGCTCAGCTGGCAGAGCCTTGGCTTAGTTACAGCATCAGTGATGACCCTGTGGCCTCTGTGAAAAGTGTGCTCGGCTCCTGGGTTGGAAAGGTTGGACACCTTTGGCTGATTTATCCAGGGGCACTGACACAGACAAGCAAGATCCCAGCCTGAGGAAGTTTGTGGAAGATGGATAGCACAACAATATTAACAGGCTATAAGGGAAGGCAGCAGAAAACCTGAGGAAGCTGCTGGTACCTGACACTTGCCTCTCAAATATAATTGCCTCTTGTCTGGTTGATGGAGGGATTTGAACCTGGTGCTTCCAGCTTTGGAGGCACAAATCTCCAGAGCCTGCATGAAAGAGCCAAGACATCACTGTACTGCTGACCCATCCCTTCAGCTAACAGCAAAGTTCAAACCTTGAGTCTCCAGCCGGCTATTCACAATTAGCAACATGCACACACAAAAGCATCTCCGTATTAACCCATTGTTGTCTGCCCTTAGACAAGCCTAAGAGCAACTGTTTCCCCACACAGCATCAACCTCCTCAGTGACTGAGCAAGTTTAAAGTCACCATTGGCGCAGCCCCTTGTTTGTTGCTGTGCTTCAATCCATAGATGCTCAGGGTGGGTTTCTATCCCACCAGCCATATCCAAACTGATCACCTGGTTCAGAGATGATTCTTGTTCCCTCAAGACAAATAACCACAAGTAAGTGCAACTCACACTAAAATACAGTTGATAAACAGAGCAGTCGATGTGAACTCTGGAAAACACTTGTCCTTCTCCATTGACTAGGAAGGGGTCAAAGGCTGATTAGCTCTGCTATAGTATCTGTATCATCTCACCATAAGACCCTAAAAAGTGATGCTGGAGACAGATCTCATGAAAAGGGAGCCCTAAGCCACAGCATCTCAGAAAATCCAACTCTAGAAATAAAGAAGAATAGAGGTAGGGAGCTGATGAAGATCAATAAAGCAGATAGGAATCAACAGTGCTGAAAAGAGAAGCCCACTACCAATTGCAATGTGAAGTTTCCACTCAGGTGGAGGAGGAGTAGTGAGGTAGGACAATATAATGCATCTCATCTTCTGGCTTCGAGTAACTAAAGCTGTTTGGGTGTTTCTTTTTCACAGGGTCAGTTTCATTGTACATTAAAAGGGATGGAGCTTCAGGAAGCACAAGCCTAACCCTCTGTGTGTCAAATCCCTCTGAACTGTTTCCTACAGCCCATTAAGTCCTCTAATTTCACTCAGAACTTGATTTCCAGTCCCTGTACTCCAGTCTATGCTTGATTATTCCCTATGTACCACCATCTATAAGGCCTGCTGCTTCTCAAGGTATGTCCACTGTGTTTCAACTTGAGGTTTTACAACAGATTAAGGTATCTGGTCCCTACACAAAGTGGGGGAGAATGATTTCCCTGGGTTTCAAAGGCAAAGAAGAGGGGAAGAGCAGAGAATGACTGAGAGCGTCTCAGAAGAGTTTGCACAGAGCAAGAATGGCCTCCTGCATCATGGCCTTACAGGTTGAACTGGGCAGCTCTCCTGCCCTTTGTCTGGGCTCCTCCAGCATCACTCCAAAGTCAACAGGCAGACACCAGATGATGATTTCCTGGTACCTTGCAACCACTCCTTATTACACTCTCTCCACTCCTATCTCTTTTGGGGTGCTGAGCACTTCGGGCAAGGGCGGCCAGTTGTACACACACCCAGCACCCATCCAGAGTACGATGGGTTTGGCGCCATCCCATACGTGTGCAGGGTTGAACCCTTCAGATTCCATCCCCAAGGAGGTTCTGAATGCTCTCCCCACCCCATCACTAGCGCTGTGATTTGTCTTTCCTGATACACACAATGTTATGTGATTTTAATTTTCAGGTGAACAATGACAACGAAAAAGATAAGGAGAGATTCACATAATTCTCTCTGTTGATAAGATACATGTTGTACTCATGCCTCCCTCCTCCTCCTTACTCTGAGCTTTCACTGATTCAAGGACCTGTTACTGCGTACTCGTTGGAAACAGCTCGTCTCTGTTTACTGTCTCTGCAGGACATATTATTGCCTCTCACAGCTTAAATTCATCATCTCTTCTTTCTGTTTGTCTTTTTCCATCTCCAGCCTTCCTTCCTGCCCTCGTTTCCTACTTGGAGAGCACTTGGATATTCAAACTACTTTTGAGACAAACCTGATTGCTTATCCTTCACGTCAAGGATATTAAGCATGTGTGCAAAACAAGAGGTCACATTCAGATAGTCTACTCTAGGTGTCTTGTTTTGGTACTACAGTGACGGAGCATCACCAGCAAAGGGCTATTCAGGGACTCACCCCCATTGTAACCCATAAGGTCAAGAAGAGAAAAAGATGCAACCCCAAATTTAACCATCTGCAGTTTGCATCACCAGTCTGAATATGGGACCTGACTTGTCTCGCAGAGACAGTGGTAGTTGTTTGTTACAAGACCAGGATGGTCTTCTAGCAGAGAGGGAGTGACCAGCTACCCTGGACTCTAGACAGAAGATCTGACAGTGACTTCATACATGACCTTCATGTCCATGGGCACCCATGGGCCTTTGATGTTCTTCCACGTGGGTAAAATGGAAGTAGGATTTCTCACCCCACTCTGTCAACTGTGAAAGAGCAAGATCACAGCAGTTTTCCCTGGGGAAAGGTAGAGCTTTTTAGGTACTGTTAAGATCTTACTTGTGTGAGAAGGGTGTGCACCAGCATAAGGGACACAGCGCCAGGAGACCAGGCTGAGACACCAAATCACTGGTTGCATGGCTCATTTTGAAACAACAGTCGAGCTGTAGCTCTGTTATCAGCTTGATCACTGATAATACGAGAGCATTATGCTGCTGTACTCCTTGTCTGGCTTTACAGGTTTCCTAGGGTCAGTTTTAGACTGGATTCATGGCCAAGACCATTAGGATGGTCTGCTCTGCTCCTCCTCCAGCATTCACTGTCACTGTGCCAGCAGAAGCTCACCCCAATTTAGGTAGAAATGATGGGAACATAGCACCAGACCCCGTCTGAGGATGCTGAATAAGGCTGATGGCAAACAGCCTCAGCTCCACTACCTCAGTGCCCCTACTTTGGGTTAGCTGCTGTTGTTCCTACCTAAAGAGACTTTCTGCAGTGGTGGATGGTTAGATACAAGGAAGAAGTTCTTTACTGTGAGGGTGGTGAGACACTGGCACAGGTTGCCCAAAACATGGTAAATGCTCCATCCCTGGCAGTGTTCAAGGCCAGGTTGGACAGAACCTTGGGTGACATGGTCTAGGGTGAGGTATTCCACGGCAGGGGTTGGAACTGGATACTCGTAAGGTCCTTTCCAACTCAAACTAGTCTATGATCCTAGGGGGGTGGCACGACTCACCCAGCTCATTGCAGCAAAAAAGGAGAGCAGAAGGGTCTTGGGGCCACAGTAGAGCCAAACGAGCAGAAATGGGAAAGCTCAGCAGAGAAACTGCTGGTAGAAAACAGGCTGTCACTGGCTCCATTGGCCCTTTCCCTCTGCTGAGCTGATACTGCGGTTTTCATTTCCAGGCAGCAAGCTGGAAACGTTTCCTTCCCTGTCTGCAGATGCCAAAGGTGCCTGAGCCGAGACAGAAGCTTTCAGGACGGCTCAGCATGAAATGCACCACGTAAAACCCTCGTAGTGCTGGCGCTGTGCTTCTCTGAGCACCGTGCGTGCTCCCTGCTTCCTCCGCTGCGCCGCACAGCAGCCTGTCAGGAGTGGGACCCTCACAAGCCTTTGCCTGTCAGACTGGGGGATTTCTCTCCCTGTCTCTGTGCCTTTGGTGCAATGCAGTATTTTCTGCTCTAGCTGCTTTGCTCACTGGAGCCCTGCGAGTGCTGGGGAAATGAGGGGGTTGCTTTGCAAAGCCTCCCTGCATGTGTGTACCGTTCCCTTCTTCAGTGAGTCCATGCTTAGCCCAGTGATGGAGCAGGAGCATGAAGATCTTTTATGCCCTGGTTCTGCTCATGCTTTTAGCAAAGTAAAGACTGGGAAAGGAGGACCAGAAATGACACCCAGTGGGGAAACCCCGTTTCTGGGGAGCTTGTGTGCAGAGCAGCAGCCTGCAACTCAGAAAGCATCTCAAGATGTTTCTCCTTGTGTCAGCTGATGTGGAGAGGGATTAGATTGTACACCAGCGGTGTATAGTTTGTCACATCTATATTTGACATCTGTTTGATGGAGGAAAAATAGCTGGGTAAATTCAGGTTTTTATCACTGCCAGTGATAGGGAAAGCCCCATGCGCACCACCTCATGGCTACCTCCTTCGTGGAGGGTTAGCCACGTCCGCCCCACAGAGCACCAGACCCATGGCTTCTCCATGATCCTAGAACACAAAATCTTGTTTTGGTGGATTTTAATTTCAAAAACATCCCTCCAAAAACTGTTCTGGCTTTGTTTCAAAGGTACAGGGGGATTTGCATGCAACAACTGTGAAGTGCTAAGTGAGCTAATGGACATGTAATGTGGGGACCAGAGAGCCGGAGCTACCCAGGAAGCTAAGCTGAGGATGTAGATACATCTCATTGGTAGAGGCTGCAACCCAAAAATGCTTGGGTAACCCACGGATTGCTGTTGCAACCATTTCTGGCGGAAACTCAGCCCTACTGTGTGCATAGGAGTTAGAAAATGCATAAACTGAGCTGTGGTTTCCTGCCCTTATGTAGGAGCTCGCCTCCATCCCTTGCACTGCAACAACTCACATCTTCCAACCAAAGCTATAGAGCTTCGTCTCAGAGTAGCAGTACCCTGCTCCTGCCCTACTGCTCGTTCAAAGGTAGAGAAAGAAGGAAGGAAGGAAGGAAGGAAGGAAGGAAGGAAGGAAGGAAGGAAGGAAGGAAGGAAGGAAGGAAGGGCAGACAACACAGACCTGTGTCCTTTCTCACTCCTGTCCACTCTAATGACAAGCAGGCAGTTTCTCCTTTCCCAGAAGCCACAGAGCTTGTTTGAAGCAATTTGGAGGCAATTGAATGAAAAGGAAGAAATGAGTAAATATTGCAGTTTATGGATGGCTGAGTCAAACCCACAGGCGATAATTAGAGGCCAACAGTCCCTTTTATGCCCACAGTAAGAAAGCGACTTAAGCTTGTTCCATTTCAGTTCCAAATAGGAGGTGAAGCTGTAGTGGGCTGGATTGTCAGTTATGGCACCTTTTAATATGCATCAGGAGGAAAAACCAAAACAGAACAGGTTTTTACTTTAATCTAAATGCAAAGTAAATTTCTCTGGTTTCAATCCTCTCCTTCTAGTTGAGATGCAAAGAAATGATGCTGGGGAAACAGAGAGAACACAACTATAACTTCCTTACTCTTTTCTCCCTTCATCTGCCCTACAAATAGTTTTTGACACAGCTGTTTGCCCACCTGGCCCCTTGTTGGCACAATTTATGGTGGTTTCTTGCCTTCTTCCTTACCTACTTGCAGTCTCAGCCTGGCTGAACAAACGCAGCTCCAAAGTGTGGACAAGCTCTTCCCTGTGAGGGTGCTGAGGCGCTGGCAGAGGTTGCCCAAATAAGTGGTGAATGCTCCATCCCTGGCAGTGGTCAAGGCCAGGTTGGACAGAGCCTTGGGTGACATGGTCTAGTGTGAGGTGTCCCTGCCCACGGCAGGGGGTTGGAACCGGGTGATCTTAAGGTCCTTTGCCTTTCCAACTCAAACCATTCTATGATTCTATAAAAGGTGTAAGGATTTGCTGTGTAATGAAGTATATCCCTGAAGATACCCAGATACAGAGACTTTATAATACTTCAGTGTAGATACTTCATTGCTGCTGTTAGAAGAGCATGTACAGCATGACAGAAGCTCAAAAACTATGCGTGGATAAAGAGCCTTTACATTACAAAACTCATCGGCAGCTCACAAAGTACAGATGGCAATCAGGGCTCCACTCCAGTGGTTTTTAACCTGACCACTTCCTTACGGCTAGACTTACCAAAGAACCCAGCTCCTGAGCTAGTCTGTTGCTCTCATAAAACATATTGAGGTTCCGTTAAAAAAAAAAGACATTTGGAAACAGCATATTTATTAGTTTTTTAAGGAAAACTCATGCTCTCTTTTTGTTGAAAACCATTTCTGAAGAGAATTGCACTTTCGCAGGCTCCCCCCTTCTTTTTTTACTTCCTTTTCCCTTTCCTATTCCTTTCCTTTCCCTTTCCTATTCCTTTCCTTTCCCTTTCCTATTCCTTTCCTTTCCCTTTCCTTTTCCTTCTGCTTTTCCTTCTCATTTTTATTTTCATTTTATCTTTCTTCTTTTTTTTCTTTCCTTTTTTTTCACTCTTCTTTTTCCTTCCTTCTTTCTTCTTTTTTCTTTTTTTTTCCTTCCTTCCCCAAACAGTAACAGCAACAGAACTCAAGCAAACAAATCCAACCTCCTATGCAAAAAGCTCTAAGGCTCCTGACTAAACACCCAAGTGAGGAGATTTCCCACAAACGCCCAGACTGCAGGAGCCCCCATTTTTATCAGGAAAACTACAGCCATCAGAAACTATTCCTGGCTTTATGTAGGGACTCAGCCAAAACTCTCTGTATTCTTTGCTCTTGTAAGAGGTAAGATGCAAGATGTAAGATGCTGTGGTCAGCTTTTGGGTTCCATCACACAGGAATAACTGAAGCTCTTTACAAAGCAACTCCAATCATAAAATCAATCATTTGGGTTGGAAAAGACCTTTAAGATCATCAATTCCAACTGCTAATCCAGCACTTCCAAGTCCACCACTAAACCATGTCCCCAAGCACCACATCTATATGTCTTTTGAATACCTCTAGGGATGGTGACACCAGCGCTTCCCTGGGCAGCCTGTTCCAGTCCTACCATAGGACAGAGAAGATGAATACTGTCACCGTACTGCTGCAAACACCAGTCCTGCCAACTGCAGAGTGTCGGGAACCACTTTCCCACCTCCTCCCTCCTCACGAACCATTTGGAGCTCAGCCACAGCCTTGGAAGAGGGCCCAGATATTTATGTTCCTGGACCTTGGCTCATGGCAGCCAGTGTTTGGTTTTGAAAACAGCTGCTGATTAAACAGAAATCCCCTGCCCAACAAACAGAAAAGAATCTTTTCTTCCCCATTTTTGCCTATCCGGTTCTATTGCCTGGGCTGGAACAAGACTGCCCTGCTGGAGAAATCTCTCCTTGCCAAATTCCGGCAGTGGATGCACTGCTTTGGCTCACACCTGTATTGATGTTTCCAGGGACTAAGAGCCTGCAGAATCTGGGAGATAGTTTGGATGATGAAGGAAAAGGCTTTTCTCAAATGGATAAACCAACACTCGTTAAAATTCCAAAGAACCTTCATTTCCATCGACTCCGCAGGGTGTGATTTCAGTCTCTAACACCTTTGCTTGCAAAGCAGCCTTCACTAGTGACAGCCACTGCAGTCCCCAAATAAGCATCTTACAGAGCCCTTCATAATGCTCAGTTTCCCAAGATAGAGCAGTGATGTGACAATTCCAAAGCACCCCAACAAGCTGCCATTCTGACACCAAAACAACTATGATTTGGCCTCCAAGAGACCACGACCACCCTTTTCATCTTCAGCACAAGGTTTGGTTACCCCCAACTGGGGTCTGTGCTTTCACACTGATTTTGATTTTTATTGCAGGCGACTCGAGTGCTTTCAGCTTTGACGCAGACTTTGTAGCGCATGGTGCTGTACATGCCCCAAACATTTATAAGTTAAAGAAAGCAGATATTGTTTGGGAACAAAAATAATGTGCCATTTTGAAGGCAGGGTATGGCTGGAGGCTGACAGCTCTTTACCATGCGCTCATCCACAGCGTACTTGTTTCTCGTACTTTTGTTAAAGTTAGTTCTTCCAAAGGCAAATTGAGATCTTGTCTTTGAATTACAAAAAAAGATGCTGGAGGATTTCAGTGATGCAATTTCTCCTCTTTTTGCTTAGTCATTTCTGCTCGTCTCTGCACAAGCAGCTGAAAAGACATCCAATATGCCTTGGACAAGTGACCACCAGACCTGGCCAGCAGTCCATGACGTTTAACCCACTGAATGTCAATACCCTTCAGTTGGCCGTTGCTCTAGTCTGGGTTAACTTGTGAGCCAGTGACCTGGAGGTGAAAGCCCTTCCTATTCCCTTACTAATCATGGTCAAGCCGAAGAAACTCAGAGGGCATGGTTACGGGAAAAATGGTAGTCGATAGCAAAGCATATTCACAAGTATTTTTAGTCCTGAACATCAAGGAGCCACTAAGTCTATTGAATATAGCTCTGAAGATAATGTGTATAGATAGAACTAAGTAAAGGAAGATAAGA